GGGGGGGGGAGGACCTGTGGAAAAAAACATCTGTAATTCTGGAGAGAGAGATTTTGATTTACAGCATATTTTATTGAATATTCAACATTTTCCATCTACTGAATCTCTTATATGAAAAAGCATATACAAATCACAGGATCTTAAAAGCTAGGTGTATATGTATTTCTGCTGTCCACTGGTCCAAATAAAGAAGCATTTAGCTCCTGTAAATTCATAGATTTGGAGTGTTTTTTCCTGCTCTGGTTTCACACTATTTGAAGCCTTCTGTGAAGGCCTTTGTGATGTGGCATCCAATTACAGTTTGAGAGATTCTGACATGATATCTGACTAAATACCAGTAGGAATAGTTTATTCTCAGGACAGTTCAGGAATCACGTGTATGGCTGAATCTGATACACTGCTTTTCATTAGGGTGCTAAAATGTTCTTAGCACCAGCCAGTCATTCGGCTCTGTCAGTCATAGTCAGAGGTCTGCTGGGAAAACAACCACATTACTAGATTTTTATTCCCTAAACAGCTACTGAGATATTCAATTAATATTTAAACACAATATACTTAGTGAGATTTTTATGAGCAACAACATGTTTGTAAATAAATATAGGCAAATTTTGTTTAGGAAGACCAGTATTAGTAACAAGCATCATTACAGATTATTTTTAGATTGTATTGACCCAAAACTACTAAGCAGGGAAACTACTGACATGTGAGGAAAAAAACAAGATACCATGGGCACGAATTAAGATTAATATTAAACATTTATTTATTAATAGAATAATGTGTATGCAAAGTTGTTTTGCTTTAGCTTTACAAGTCTTTAGTACACAGGTGCTAATTCATTTTTGGTATGTTAAGTTTAAAATGTTAGTTGTTTGGGTATGCGAGTATTTCTGTTCACAATGGGTGTTTTAAACAGTCTATGACAACCAGAGCAGGAAAAAGTCACATTGTAGAGTTTCCCTAAAGTGTGTGATCATCATTTTGAAAGCCCAGAGTTTTTCCTATATTTATAGTACTACTATGAGGAGGGTCCAACAGTCACCACCACGACCACCTCAATGTCTCATGGTGTTGAGGTAAATTATCTACCCTGGTAAAAAGATCTGCGTCCCTTCCACATGCCATGGGGGCTATTCCATATTCCTTTCACATACTAGCTTAGCTTTTAATAGTAAGATCTGTTTAAATGGTACCGACTTAAAGAGTGGATTATTAAACAAACTCCCTTGTTTAACAATTCATGAGTCAGTGAAAATAGAATCATATATCCAGAGTAAGTTCTTTAAGTTGTGAGAGCAGCACATTTCCAAAAAATAGCCCCCATGATTCAGAGCCCTGCAAAAGCCACAGCACTAGTGATGACAGTGAGGGTGTGTTAATAGAGCTTTCTGTATGTGTGTTAATGCGATGTTTACTTTAGTTTGTGTCTGTCTACGCTGTAGTATTATGTGGGGAAAATAATGCTTAATGCTATTGGTTTGACTGTCCCAAAAGTGCATTTTCTGTCGTTTTTCAGCATGTTTGTTTTTTATAAAGTTTAATAGAATAACTGTCTACCCAATACAAATTTACTAACCTGTCAGTGAAATATCAAGTTTTCAGAATTCTGTATAACCTTTTCATTCATTTGTCATATAAAAAAGTAAAATACTAATTTGCATGGTAAACAAATGAATTAGAGTTTGCGGAGTACGTTGAAGGTAAGTGTTGGACAATTGGATACAGAAAATAGAATCTTTATCTCATCCATTTTCTGTTTTGGTGTAAATCAGTATAGACTAAATTAAATTGTCATGCTGCTTGATTGCTTATAATATTCGAAAATTAGGTGTTTTGGTCCTCCATAACTGTTCCCCATAAAGTGATGTAACATTCCTTAAAGCGGTTTGGTTTTCATTGATGAAATTCTGTACATCTGAAAGATGTTAGAGATGTTTCGCTGAACCATGTGCATCTGTCTTAAATGTTGATTGCTGTTTTTTTAAGCTTGGACCTAGTGGCCTTGCCAAACGCACGGTTAGGAAGAAGGTGAAGGTGGACACCTCCAAGTTCATGACTCCTTACCTGGCTCACAGCCAGAAGATGCTTGACCAGTACAGCCATGTAAGCAAATAACAGAGAAAATATGTTGTGCTATTAATCCGTAAGACTGCTGTTTTCTTCTTATTTCATTTAAATGAATTAGACCACCACTGTTAATGATCCCAAATGATGCTCATAACTGTGAATTGAATTATTAAAGTGAGACCAGAAACAATTTCTCATAAAAATGCATGTTACCACACCATGTCTACAGGCCACAGTTTGAGAACCATTGGAATAAAAACAGATATTAGGTAGAATTAAGAGTCTGTTGGGGTTTGCTAGATTCACACAATCATTCAGAAGTTTGGATCCAGTAAGTTTTTAAAGAAATTAATACTTTTATTTAGCTAGAATGCATTACATTTATCTAAAGTGACAGAACTTAACTATCTTACCTGTCTTATCTTGCCTAGTCTATAATGCAAACTGAATTTGTATGTTTTTTGCAGAATAAATACAGGGAGGAATATGAAAAATCAAAGGGGCAGCCCTATGCCATTTCGGCTGACACACCTGAGATGATTCGCATCAAGAAGGCCCAGGAGCAGCTCAGTGAGGTATGTACCCTTGACGAA